AAAAAAAAATATTTTCAGGCACTTAGAAAATAAAATAAGCCATATTATCAAGAGAACGACTTTGGCTTCTTGAAATTACATTATGCATTTTTTTTCTTTTTTTCAGTTTTAAAGTATTCAGTTTGTTTCATCATTATCTTCACATTGTCCTTCACCTGCCTGTCCACTGTCCTCACTAGTCTGGGAAGTTTGCTCTCTTATGCACTGCAATTCAGCTAGTTGTCCTACCTGTCACTATCTCTAGGTGCAGCTGTTCTATTCCTCTTACCCTTTACCTAAAGAAATTGGCCTTGCTTACTTAGCAGGAACCAGCATTCTGATCATGTCCCCTGGCAATATCCATCCTGAGCTCCTTCAACTGCCTGAGTCATCTTTCTAAGATGCACTCCTGACCCTGCTCTCAAACATGACAGTCTCCCAATTGCTCTGATATAAAGAAACCCTTAATGTTTTCTCAAACTCCTCAAAAATAGATTTTTTTTTCTCCAGGTGGTTTTTTTAATGCATTGATTTGCCTGCTGTTACAGTCATCCTATTCTGCCCCTTTCTGAGCATCTATCTCAAATGCTCCTCCTCCAAGGAACCTTTCATGATTTGCCAACCGGAGATTATCACTTCTTTGACTGCTCCACAGTATTTGTCTGGCTGTTTTGTATGACATCAATCTTACACAACAGTCTATTAATGCTGAATCACATGCATAGTGGTCCCCCTCACATTTGTTTTGTTTTTACTGCACTGTTTATACTTTAAACACAAAGATTTCTATCTATGGATCTCCTCCACTCCTGGAGGAGCCTCAAAAATTTTAAATGAATTCATTCAATGGACTCAAATTCAGAGACCATCCTACCAATTTTACTCTATGTGTGAGTTTTGCAATTTCATTCTTTTGGGGATTATTCGTATTCTAAGAAACTAGTGTGGTTTGTGGCTTAGAGTCATGGTTTAGGCTACCCTTGGGAAGAATGAAAAACAGCTGGTGTCCAAGGAGCTCTGGAAATTAGCCAATAAACTAATTGTAGAACAGAAGCCAAGAATACAGACGTTTCAATTTCATAATTAAGTTCTCGCTATGCTATTATTTGTGTGAAAACACATTGTTTTAGAACATTGAATCAAATAAGGTATTTTTTTCCCCAAATCATGGACTACATATCCAAAGAAAAAGAATCATAATATGAATATCAGCACCCTTGTGCTCAAATTGTGTTTGTTTTGTTTGGTCAATTATACACTCTAACAACGAAACACTTAAGAAAGATCAAACTAATTTTAAGGGATTTTTTTTAGAATTCATTAAAAAATTGTTTTATTTCAGTGTGTGGAATAAAATATGGTGATGAGAAAACTACTAAAATGTTTATAATATCGAAGTTATTGGTATTTATACATATAATAATTCATAGGGATTTCAACTGAATTTGACAAATACTGGGTGCTCACTGTCTATATCCAAGGAATTGTCCAAGTGAACGAGGTACAAAGATGAATAATCACAGAATTAGCACCCTGAAAGCTTAGAATTAGGAAATTAGCAAGAAATGCACAAATAACTGTAAATTAACCTCAAGTGTAAGGACAGAAATACAATATATATGAAGGCTTCTGTAATACAAAAGAAGAAAACCCATGTGATTGTGTAAGAAATATTAAAGGATCCAGCATTCTGACATCCAAACCTGGGAAGGTAGAGTTCTAAATAAAGGAATAAATTAAGGAGGAGACATTAGTGGGAGAAACTGACACAGTAAAAGGCTCAGAGAATTGCAGGTGAAAACAACTACTATGAATCAGGCTGGTCCAATTAGCATAAGCTCTTGTCTGAGGCGCTCTTGAGTGACAGTGTTCAGAGAAAAAGGAAAATTTGAATACATGGCAGGTGCCTCAGAGCACAGATGTTTGTGAAGTAGTTTAGCAAAGGGTGTCCTAAGTTTTTGAGGTACATGGCACAGGTTAGAAACCAAGCTAGCTTTCCAGTTGTTCACAATCCAAGTCAATGTTGAACAAGTTAACATAAAGGTAACAGCATCCAAGTAAATTCTTCATTTTTCACTTAGCTTTAGACAATTAAAATCACTTAACAATCACTGCTCTGGCCTCCAAGGTATGGATTATATTATACGCCTCACCAACTTTCTTCATGATGGATTCATATGAAGCATTTCCCTTGGCCACATTACTTAGAGTTCTTCTTTTATGATTTCACTAAAGCAAGCACATTTTTCTGAAGTAATCAATTTCCTCCTACTTCAGGGCCTTTGCTCCTTGCTCTTCAGTCTGCCTGCCCCCAGACCATTCTCAGTGAGCTCTGCCCCGGCAAATCCATTAAAAATACTGCAACCTCACCACAAATCACTTGATTTTTCTTCCTAATCTTATCACCTTCTAACATACTGTGTCATTTATTTATTTTTCTGGTTTGTTGTCTGATTCCCACCCAGGGAACAAGGATATTTGTCCCTGTGATTCCTGAATGTATCCCCAATGCTTGGAATAGTGTGGACATGTAGCAAATACTCAGTAAATATGAAGTGGAGAAATGCATGTGAGAATGAACCATGTGTTGAGTATGTGCATGGATATTTAAGACAGTCCCTATTTGCTTTAGAGTACTCACTGTTCTGAGTACTCCTTCTCATTACTTTTCATGGAATTAGGAAAGATTTATAAATATCTTTTATGTAATCAGCATTGTTTCTGATTCTAACAAACTAAATCACAAGTTCCAGTATTTGAGAAGAAAATAATGAGGAAATGACATACAGAATAGGAATACTATAAGATTTCACATGGCATTTTAAGGGAGGAAACAAAGCCTGGTATTTCCAGAGATGTCCCTCAAGGGGATGTTTACAAGATCTAGTGAATAAAAAGATGCTGCCCGCCCCCAAGAACGTTTGTTGGAATTACACATGCTTAAATTCTCATTCCAGCAATACCATTAATTACCCATATCACCTGGGCTTAGTCATTGCCTTCTCTGGGTCTACATGATTTCATTTGTAAATTGAAGATCAGAATCTTAACCTCACAGGAAGAATGTGAACTATCAAATGAGATCATCTATAGAAATTATCAGTCAAGGCCTGGCACATAGAAGCAATTAAATAAATACATAGGGAGTAAATTAATTCTTGATATATGGGGGAGAGAAATAAATAGAAAAAAAGTATCTATTTTTCACTTATTTGTACTGCATTATACTACCTACACCTTTACTCATAGTGTTTGCTTGTATTATTGATTCATTGGTTACTATGTGTATTTATTCCTATTTTAAGAGAAGAGAGACTAGATCTCAGACACCTTAAATAACTTGTTCAAGACAAGTTACATATTTCTTTCAAACTCTATAATAATTCAAACTTATTTATTTGTTTTATTCTCCTTGTAGCTCTACATTTACCTCTTGAAAGACTTCTTCTGTATGGGTAACTGTTTCTATTTTTAGATCTTTGCGTTTGTGGTACTGGCCATTGAACCAAGGGCCTCAGGCATGCTAGGTACACTATCTATCACTTTCCCCAGCTCTTCTAGGTCTAGATCTTGAACAAGTTTTCCCTAGGCGCCTTTCATAGAAAACTTAAAAAAAACATAAAAAATAATGTTTAATTGAACATCTATTTACCTGTGGGCACTGATATAATTACTCCTCAATTCATTTGGTCCTCACAACAACTTTATGAGGCATACACTACTTTTATCCTCATCTCAGAATGATAAAAGTGTTAGAGATAATAGAAATGAAACAGCAAGGTAAGGCATTCATACAGCTTATATTCTAAGATGAAGATTCAAATCCAAGCATCTAGATTTTAGAGTCCATAATCTTAACCATGAGATCATACTGCTCTTCACCCACTAGGAATGATTATATCTTTTCTTTTTTTGATAAAGTCTAAGAAAACACATTTCACAGTCTAAGTTGAACTTGTATGAACTATGACTCTCTTACATTGTTTGGCAAATCTTTATTTTTTCCAGTGACATTGGCATCAACATTGAGTCAAACTCAAAAAGTCTGTTTATACAAAATATATGAACCTAGACTGTGACAGAAATCCCAAATTCTAGTTCAGTACTTATAAAACTGTTCGTAGTACCACGAGCCCATGTCCCCAACCTGGAAATGTCATATGCATGGTCTTCATTGCTTTAAACAGCCTCCACATTATGCCCTTAGAAAATGCAGGACTTTAAATCATAACCTTGCATAAGTTCAAAACCCAAAATAAACTTTAATAAGGCTCTTTCCTTTTAATACCAACTTCATTTTTTTAACTCTCCAAGTAAAATGATTTGAACACAGAGATTCTATTTTTAAGAGAGAGCAGAGAATGTGTGCATGGCAAGTTGGAACAGTGTTCAAGTGCACTGGCTTCCCTGCTATCAGGACGACAAAGCCTTAAATCACAAGGAGGAAAAAGTCAGCATGTTCTCTCAGAACACAAATAGATCAACATCAGTAAGAGCTTTGTCCAAGAAAGGGAAGAGACACCGACCCAAGAATAAACCATGCTCATGAAACCTATAATTTCAAGAAATAGTTTCAAGAAATGCTTTAGCTGATAAATATGACTATTAGATACAGAAATCACAGAGAAAGTTCCATGTGATTTATTTTTTTTTAAAAGTAGACCTTCCAAATGTGATCAGTCAACATACCCCACTCTTTGTGTTCCTGATGTGGTTCATCAGTGGTTATGGGACCCACAGAAGAAAAATCCATGTAGATTCTCTCTCTCTCTCTCTCTCTCTCTCTCTCTCTCACACACACACACACACACACACACACACACACACACACACATCCTTTAATCCTATGATGGAACAATATTTAACATTATCAGGCACATAAAAATCTTTTCCAAGTTAAAAAATATATAAAAAGCCCATTTCCCTCGACATGCAAACGCTCATGATGCCTTTAGGTCCTTCTAACCTCTGAATTAAAGCTTTCCCGCTTAGAACTCAAAAGAAAAAAGAATTCCTCTTACCATATATTCCATGTTTGCTGCCGGTGGGAACACTTTGCCCCGAACTTGATTATGATAATCAAGAATAGCGATCATGTCATTCTGCGAAATGTAGCGCTTCCGCCTGGCTTTGGGGAGATCCGTAGAATCTAGTGGTGCGCTTAGAGCTGCTTCAATATCAGTGAAATTATTGGTTGGCGGGGATGAGTCAGTGGAATTGAGTAAGATGACGGTACTTGCTTCACAGAGAAGGGAGAACAGGAGCACATGGCTGACAGCAGAGATTGCTATCATTTTGAGGGGCGGAGAAGAAGAGGCCACCGAGTTTACTTTGCTTAAAAGCAGAAAAGTTAGAGTTAGGGTCTTTGGGGAAAAAAAAATAGGGCCAGAGGGTATGAGTTTACAAAGTCATCATTTGGGAGCATTGCTTGATTTGACTGCCTCCAAAAATCCAAATAAATGTTCAACTGAAGGCTAGGAGACCCCTTACAGTAAAATCTCTATTCATTTGGCTGTATTATGAGAAAGACCCCCAAGAGGAACTTTCTAGAGCTAGAGTAAAGTAAACAACATGACCACTAACCCTAAAATGAATGTGAGCCATCTGCCCCAATTGCCAGAACCACAGAATGCATTGGTGCATGTTTATTTCCAGTGGGGAATCTTTAGGAATTAAAATTCACCTTGAAAGTGAAGAGGGGGGAAAAATGCATCTCAGGTAACAACAGAGAATGTGCTGATAATGTCTCCCAGGCACATCTGTACACCAAGTGATACAATGCATGACAAAAAAAGTAATATAGTAATCCAATCTCATATCTTAAAAAAAAAAGGAAAAATGAGCTACTTTAAAATCAATGCATGCAAGATAAACTTGTCGAGCCAAATAGCTTACCTCTGAACAATGCCAAAATGAATATACTGTTCTTCCAAAAATTTAAAGTTCTTTGCTATGTTGTAGCATGAACTCTTGTAAGAGGAGTATGTCTTATTACAAGCTCCCAGAGAGCAAAAGCCTGCAAGGTTTGAAAGCTGCTGGCTACAGAAGCAGCTGACAGCTTTTATATGTCACAGTTTGCAACGTCCAGAAAGGGCAGTCTTTCTTAGGGTCTCTCTTAGCCAAAATCAAAGGGGAGGGGTTTTGGATAGAAAAAACAGTGATTGGGTGGTGACTTTTTATGTGGGTGGTGAGGAAATTGAGTCACACCCACAGCTTACAAAGTGCAAACCATAAAAGACAAACCTCTTTTCTCTGGGCTTCCACCTTTTCTGTGAGTGGTTAATTTTTCTCATTTAATGTTTTCTAGTTTTTGGTTCCCATACAAAAAGAAGTAGGAAAAGAAAGAAAGGAGAAAAAAAAAAAAAAAAAGACCGTGGGCTCTTGAAAACACAGATGGCTAAGTAACAAGCAGTACATTTTTTAAAGACAGTAAATGACATGGGAGCTGAAAAGAGCAAGCTGATATTAAACCAAGAGATCAGCTCACATAGTTAATCTGGGTGGCCACAAATATGATTCAAGAAGAATGCCAGGCAAATCAGTAGTGGCCAAACTATAGCATATGATATTAGTATAATAGATGCTCAAGCAGTAGTGCTCTGTCTCCATGTGACTTTCTGCCTCTGATCTATATATTTATATTCTCTCTCTCTCGTCCTCATTTCACATTCCCTCCCTTTTTACTTTCTCTACAGAGTGAATTCAGCAAATTACTCCCTTTTTACCTGCCTTGTGAAAATGTGAATAGAGAAACTCATGGTGAAAGCCTGAAGCCAAGATAACATCTGTTTCAGGTTTAGAAGCATATAGTTGAAATTTTAAGCAGAGAATAGTTCAGCTTCCCGGGAAGAGTACTGGAGGGCACAGCATAGAGATTGTGAAGAATTTAGCAGCAGCAGCTAAATTCAACAATCAGAAGTGCCTTCATAGGAGGAAAACATTGGAGCAAAATAAATATCAGGCAAAGCAAAAACCAAGCATGCAAACATGAGTGTGATCCAGTGAATCAGACATAACTTTCCTATGTTCATATATGAACACATACATATATGCAGTGTAACTGCACATCATGTACAACCACCAAAATGAAAAGTTATATTCCAGGCATGTATGATATATCAAAATATATTCTACTGTCATGTGTCACTAAAAATAATAAATAAAAAAAGAAAGGGCTTTCAAAAATGTAAAGTGTTATGATCTTATTAATAAAACAGGGACCATTTGTGGTCAGTAGCAACAGGAACTCTGGAAAACACACACTGTTCAATATAGGATCTTACTTAGCATAGACTGACTTGTTCAGTCTGCAGAAGGGATTGTCTTCTTCATGTTTCAACAGGAGAATTACTATGTGAATTTACAATCAACAGAAACGATGATCGTGTGGCACACTGAACTGTGAGCCAAGTTTCCTAGGATATGTTCCCAGTTGGATCACCAGCAGTATGTGTGGCCTAATGCATACTATTTAACTCTTCGTCAGTGCATTTCAAAAAAAAAGGGGGGGGAAAGGTGCATGTTCTATAGTGAGACAGATGTTTATCATGTTTTTTTAAGAAGGCAGTTAGGTGTTTGGAACCAGAAGTTCTCCTGCCATTCAAAATACAGGGTTGGGACACCTACTTCTACAATAATGGTATGTGTTAGATTTTAGGTTTTGCCATATTTTGGTGAGTATTAAGCTTTTAAGTAAAATGAAATCATTTTAGGAGAGTTTAAATTATGATATCAGAAGTTTTAAAACAAGAAATTAATTAGCACCATAGAATCGAAAAGGAAAGAACACACCTAAGCACAGAAGGTGAGGGGGGAAATGTGAAATCTGACAGCAATTGGAAGGAATGCAAAGCTCACAGCTGCAGATTTTTAACTGGAGCTGTCCAACTAGGGTCTCAGTCCTTCAGACAGTAGTCATTTGAATGCATATCAAGGACGCCATGCTAAAGATTCCTGCATCAGTCAGAAGGTTAAGAGGAGACACTCTATGCTCTACCACCTCTGGACTTTGGAGAACTTTGAGACAGCCCAAATTATTCTATACTTTGTACATAATTCAGACAGCTGCCCATCATATTGAGAACTAAAGTTTTTTTTAATGCCCAAACAGCAGGGCACTTTCTTTCTCTGGGGTAACTGAGTTCTTTTTAGAACCTCATAAAAAATCAACCATTACATTCAAGATTACCCTCTTTGTCATAGACACAAAGAGATATTGTCTGCCTTTTGGAATCTGACTCCGGGGACTTCCATAAGGATGAAAATATGATTATTGTGAAATGTGTCCAAACCATACATGGATTTCCTCTAAGAAGGAATGGAAGGATGGATGGGGAGAAAGAGAAAGGATTTTTTTTTAGATGAACTTAAATAGGAGATCACCTCCTTGCATCCAATTACATAAACTCAGAGCTGATAGTTGCTTAATCCTGAGACCCTGAGGCATGTCAATGATTTCAGATGTCTTTCAGCACACATGGATTACACTGTGGAATTTCAGACTATTAAGGAAACCCACACAGCTATGGAATCATAAGAGAAAAGACCTGTGGGAGGAGAGTTAAGAATTCCGTTTCCAAGCAGTCGTTATTGCCAGAAGAAGTATTTGAAATGCTTTGGAAGTAATTTTAATTTTAAAATACTTGCAAAATTAAGAGGCACACATCCAAGTTGTCAGTAACAGAACTATTAATGAACAACTAACAATGAAGTGGTTCTTTATAAGAACTCTTCTTGAAACAGACCACTGGCATAGTTTGAAACCTTTAAAGGACTTCTTGCCAACAAAGACAGAAATGGAATGCAGTTTATGTTACTGAGAAGAAGTACGTATACAATTGGCAGCACCTTGAAATCTGTGAGAAAAATGCTTATGGTTTTAAAATTGAAATCATATACATTATTCGTGTGACACACCTGTTTATGCAGAGTGACTCTGGTGTGTGTGTCTGTATGTTTCTGTATGTGTGTGTATACACATGAATTTATGATTTTTATCTGCATTCTTCCTAATTCACATGTTACATAGAACAGTAGCATTGACTCACTTGGAAGCTTATTAGAAATGCAAAATTTCAGGTACCATGCAGTAACCACTGCATAGGATATTCGTTTTATCAGGATTCGCAGATGATTCACATGTACTTTAAAGTTTGAGAAGTGTTGTCTATAAATAATTTTGTTTTTAGAAACACAGGCAATACTCACTACACACCTGTTCATTGAATTCTTTTTTCTGTTCCTTTTTTAGTACTGGGGACTGAACCCAAGGACACTCTACCACTGAGCTATATCCCTAGAACTTCTTATTTTTAACTTTGAGAGAGAGCCTTATTAAGTTGCATAGGGCCCTGCTAAGTTGCTGAGGCTGGCCTCGTGCTTTTGATCCTCCTCCCTCAGCCTTCTTAGTTGCTGGGATTGTGGGCATGCAGTACCATACCAGCTCATTGAATTCAAAATTCTGTTTGTATAGTAACATGAGGAGAGTTAAAGACAATATAGATATATATGGGCATCTACGAAGTAGAGGACATAAGGTGACTTCTATTTCATAAGGAAAAAAAGATGACTCATAAAAAAGTACCCACGTAGAGCATCTTACAAAAAAAAATTTAGTAGTAGTCAACACCTTTGTAAATTACTATATAAACTCTAATTAATACATATTGACTTATTACAAGGTTATTGAAACAATGGAAGTTTATAAACTGTGACATGCCATATGAACAGAAGTATAATTTTACTCTATCTTTCTCCAGACAGAGGCCCAGGTCATCCTTTGTTCCTCATTCTTTCTTACCTTACTTCATGGAAAAAAATGAGGCTTTTTATCTCTGATATTGCTGACTCTGATCTCGTCCATAATCAATAATGCCTTCTGTTGCCTTCTGTGATGGTTGATTCTAGGTGACAGACAGATGGAATTAAGGAATACCCAGATAGCTGGTAAAGCATTTGCTTATTCTCCATCATTGCACTGATTATTCTCAATGCTGCAGTAGACACTAAGCCCATCCTCTTCTAATGAAAGGGAAGCCCAGGTGGTCTGGCATTTGATCGAATGAAAGAGCTTCATGGTGTGTCTGCATGGGTGTTTTCACAGGAGATTGTTATGTGAGTTGGTGGCTGAGTGGGGACGTTTGGCCCTCTGTGTGGGTAGGCACCATCCAATCAGCTGAGGCCCAGATGGAACAAAAAGGCAAAAGAAGAGTGGATTCTTGCTTTCTCTTCCAGAACTATGGTGCTCTTCCTCTTCTGTTCTTGGATATCAGAAGTACGAATTCTTGATGCTGTGGACTCTTGAACTCACACCAGAGGCTCCTCCCCATCCCCAGGCTCTTGGGCCTTCAGCTGTGCACAGAGATAGATTATGGACATCCTTGGTTCTCAGCTCTTCAGACTTACACTGAACCGCTCTTGACTTCCAGGGTTCTCCATCTTGCAGACAGCCTGTTGGGGAGCTCAGCCTCTACAATCAAGTGAGCCAACTCCCCTCATAAATCCCTTTTCATCTATCTCTTTGTCTTTATCCTATGGATCTGTCTCTCAGGAGAACCCTGACTAAAATACCCTCCTGAAAACAAACTGAATCTTTTCACTTGTTTCCATGTAACTCATTCTTGGCTCTCCTTGCCCATAAAATTCAAATTCCAGTGTCTTGACACTATAAACCACTTAACTTTCAGGCTTATTTGCTTGTAACTGCTTCTATTTCTCTACCCCTACCACACCCTATGCCATAACTGCCCTTGGCCATTATCTTTCTCCTGTTAACTTCACCAGGTTCATCAGCCCACTTGGGTTTGTTCATTAGAATCGCCTTCTTGCCTCTGACAATATAATTATTGAAAAGCATTACCTATTTTTTTCTATGAAAAGTCTTTAGTAAACAGAAAATGAGATTGTGTTAGTTGTATATGAACTATTTTTTTCAAAAAATTTACCTTCTTGTTTAGTTACAAGTCTCAAAGCATCCAAAGTCATTAACAGCTACAAATGTCAGAGTTTGGATAAAATTTTTTCACCAGTCTA